TTGTACATGCTATATAGGATTAGCTATTATCACTGCTACTCCTATAAAGGAAGCCCCTTCCTAAGGTGAAATGTAGCCTGGTTGACAGAAGAGCTGTGGTTGGTTTTCTTTGGGGAGATTGCCTAAGGTCAGGGTAGCCAGAGGGAGGAAGAACTGTGCTTTCTTGTTGAGACTTGTCTTTAAAAGGAAACTTGGCAGTAAATGGTTGGTGCTAAATATCAAAGAAACTGTTTCTCATCTCGGAAGCCCTGTGTGGCTGTGTCCAACCAGAGAGAAGATGAACAGGATTCTGGAGGGGTGTCATGGCTCACGCCTGTAATCCCAGCACTTTGGGAGGCTGAGGCAGGTGGATCACTTTAGGTCAAGAGTTCAAGACCAGCCTGTCCAATATGGTGAAATCCCGTCTGCACTAAAAATACAAAAACAAAAAAAATTAGTTGGGTATGGTGATGCACGCCTGTAATTCCAGCCACTCGGGAGGCTGAGGCATGAGAATCATATGAACCTGGGAGGCAGAGGTTACAGTGAGCTGAGATTCCACCACTGCACTTCAGTCTGGGTGACAGAGTGAGACTCTGTCTCAAAAAACAAAACAAAACAAAACAAAAACAGGTTTCTTTACGTACCATTGATTGACACATTTGATTTACATTCCCTGTCTATATCCCCCCTCCAGTGGAGAGGATTCCCACATGTTAGTATTAGGGTTTGCATCTGGTTCTTTTGTGGAGAGACAGTAACCCTGGTATCTATATTAGAGGATTGGTAAGGGGCAGTGAGGGTAGAAATGAATTAGAGCTTATGTGGGGTGGGGCTGGGAGTCAGCATTTATTACAAGCTCCACAGGTGATTCTTACGGACGCTGAAAGTAGAAGCATCTGTGAGCTTCAGCGTTCCCATCTCTAGAATAATGAAACTATTTTTCTCCCTAGTGTTATTTAAGAATGAAATATGATAGCCTGTCTGAAGCTCCTACCATGCTATTCAGCACATGGTAGGTGCTCAGGCATTGTGAGTCTCTTTCCTTATAGAAGAACATCTGTCCAAAGTCATTGGGTTAAACTGTGTGAAAGGCCTCGAGCGAGTATCAGTGGGGTACAGCTGTCTGAATGTCCATCCCGTTACCCAGGGTGGAGCCTGGGGAGCCTCTGGTTTTCTCAGTGGAAGGTGGGAATGTGCTGCCTTCACCTCTGCTGAGATGATGCTGTCAGTCCCAGTGGGAAGTGGTGGGAATGAGCTTGGGGGTGACCACTGAATGGGGCCTATGTCTGCCTGGGGGTAGGTGTGCAGCTCCACATCTTGGAACCCCATGACCACTTAGAGATCCTGCAGGTGGAGGAGGGCCTGGGGTGACAGATTGTTCTGAGTGATTGACATTGATAGCCAGAGAAGGTAAGTAGAAGGCAATTAAGCTGAGAAATGGGAAGGCTTCCTCTGTGTGGGAGAATACATATGTCCCGGCAGACAGTGGCAATGATGAACAAGTCATGGAGATGTCTGGCATTGCAGTTGTCCCTGAGCTGGTCCTGGGGGAATGGGACAGGGCCAGGGATTGTGACTCAGTTGCCATGAAGAACTCCCCAGCTCCCTGGGGACAGTGTCAGGCACAGAGAGAGTGCTTAGCCAAAGAGGTGTGGGTTGGTTGATTTGACATTTGCCATTACCCTCCTCAAACTGCAGATATGCAAGGATAGAGGGCTGGTTGGAGTAGGGAGTGAGTGGGGAATTGTATGGTGCGGCTGGGAGGAGGGGGATAAGTCAGTGGTCAGAGTCCCAGGGAAGAGAAATGATTTCCTACCCACCAAAGAAAGCGTTTGGGAAGATTTGTTTTTCAACACATTTTGACCTGGGGATTTAAAAAATATGGTTGAATGCTGTGAAGCTAAATATCTATAATAACTGTACCCCTTAATGCATTTCTAGATGCAATTGGTGGTGCTTGACATTATATCCACTTATAGAGGCTTCGAATAATTTTTTTTTAGCTTTCGTGTGTGGGTGGGAGCTGAAGAGAGCTCAGTCGGTTTTTGTTCAACTTTTTCCAACCTTTCTCACCTGACAATGCATAGACGTGTTTGTGTGTTTGGCACCCGATGGTTTTGAAAATTCCGAGGGGATATTAATTTTTTTGGGGAAAGGAAAGTAATTGGCTTCCTGTTCTGTGAATACATAGATGTTTAAATTAGAACCCAAAGTACACTCTTTATTCCAAAAGCTGCATGTGTCTGAGGAGCCTAGTGACATACGGTGTGAGAATTGTGGGGTAATCTTGCCAGGCCTTTCAAGGCTGCTCCTTGGGGAGGGAGGTCTTGGTTGGTGCTGATTGCCTCCTTGAGTCAGTGGAAAGGTTTGAGAGTTTGTTGTTTGTTTTTTTCCTGAAGGTTCGTGTTGGGTTTTGCTCAGTTCAGGGGTGCTAGTGAGCTGAGGGGTGGGGCTGTGAGGCTGTTACACTGAGAAGCCAATTGCTTCTACTTATTTATTTTATGAATGTTTATCTGGTGCTGACACTGTTCACATGTACACTGTTCTAAGGGCTTCTCAGATACAGGCTCCTTTAATCCTCATGCCAACCTTATAAGGTAGGTACGGTTATCCTCATTTTATAGATGGGGAAACTGAGGCTCAGGGAGGTTAAGTCCAGTAACTGGATGCACAGGTGTAAGGCGGCAGAGCCGGGGTCACCCAGTGCTCCCTATCTGGGGTTCTCATAGTCTCTCTGTCCAGCTTGGCCTGTCTCCACCATGTTCGTGACAGGCTCTGCTGTGGAGACTGCTCCAGTTTGTTTCAGGGAGACACTCAAGCTTCACACAGGTCAGAGTCCATGGGCATGGTGAGGGAAGAGAGGATGTAGCCGGGGCTGTTAGTCTGGACTCACTGGATGCAAGCTGCACGCGGCCTTCTGTTGAGTCAGCTCCCCCTTTTGGGGTTGGTAGGAATTGCCACCGCTCCCCCCAGCACATGCACCTGTAGAGAAGCCCCTGGGTTTTGCAGAGAGCCCCTGAGGGAGGGTACAGGCTGTACTGGGGCTCAGAGACCTGGAGCTCAGAGACTAGCTGAGGCAGGCTTTGGGGTCTTGCTATCTTGCCTCCTGCCCATCGAGTGCCAGGTGAATGAAGGAAGTCCACTGTCTGGTTAGCTCCATTCTCCCTCCTATTTCTGGGGTCTGAGAGAGGAGACAGATTGTCAGTCTTTATTTTGGACTTGACTCCCTCTAGAGATGGAACCCCCTAGCCCAGCCCCACTCAGACAAAGTTAAGAGAATATTGGGAAAATGGGCTCTTCTTCACAGTGGTAGAGTTTGGCATTTTGAGACTCAGCATGAAAACCTCACTCTAGTGCTTTCCTGCAGACTCTGGGGTCATTGCTCAGCTCTTTGTCCTTGGACATTCCTGTTGAGAGAAGGAGGAGGTACACTATGGGGTGGAGCAGAGAGAAGATAAGCGGCTTTTCTCTTTGAAGTCCCTATAGGAACCTCAGGGGTATTCTTAGGGGGGTGGTAATGGGAGCAGTGGTGACCTGGGGTGGGCACAGAAACGACCTTGGCCCAGAAGCACAGCCTTGGGGCAGGGGACTCCACTCAGTCCTGATGGGTCCACAGATCAGTCTGTGCTGTGTGAGGCAGTAAAAGGGCTTGCTTGGGCTTGGTAGCTCCAGGCTGGGACCTGGCTGAACTTGAAGCTGATATCCACAGGGTAGAGAGCCACTCTGAGATACAGCTTTTTTTTTTTTTTTTTTTTTTTGAGATGGAGTCTTACTCTGTCACCCAGGCTGGAGTGCAGTGGTGCGATCTCGGCTCACTGCAACCTCCGCTTCCTGGGTTCAAGTGATTCACCTGCCTCAGCCTCCTGAGTAGCTGGGACCACAGGTGCCCGCCACCATGCCTGGATAATTTTTTGTATTTCTAGTAGAGATGGGGTTCCACCGTGTTAGCCAGGATGGTCTCGATCTCCTGACCTCATGATCCACCTGCCTCGGCCTCCCAAAGTGCTGGGATTACAGGTGTGAGCCACCGCACCCGGACTCTGGGATTCAACTTTTAAGTTATGTGAAGCATTCTGCAGCACAGGAAACTCCATCCTGGCTGAGGACTGTAAGCTGTTGACTTCCTTCCTGCAGATTGATAAGCATTTCCCGACTCTCCCATCCCTGTGTACCTGAGACATTTCTGTAACTGGGTGTGACCTCAGGCCTGTATTCCCAAGGCTGTCAGGGACTGCGTTATAGCTCTTTCCCACTGAAAAGTCCTGCCTGCCTGCTGTGTGGTTCTCAGGTGGGTTCTCACCTCCCTGAGAGTCTACTGTCTCCATGTTGAGGGCCTTTGACCAGTTTTGGCCTCCCTCACAGTTCAGCTGTTCTCACTCCTGACTTGAAATAGGGCAACTATGGGGTCATGGGTGAGCACACAGGCTTGGAGCCAGACTTCACAGCTGTGGAACTCTGGCAGGCTATGTAACCTCTGTAAAATGAGGTAAATGCTGGTATTTTTGCAGAGATTAAATGAGAATAATACATGCGAAGTACTTAGTCTCCAGAACATAGTATGGTTCAACAGATTTTAGAATTTATTTCCATGAACAACAGGTATTTTGTCTTTTCTCTATAATGGCTATGCTGGTCCAAATGTATTTAAGTAATTTCTTGACTTATCTTCTGCAGGAACTCTGATATACACAGAGGGTACCTGTGTATACTGCCCAGTTAGCTCAGATTCTCAGTTATGGGCATTTTCTAAGGGAGGGCAATGAACATCCTGATAGGTTTAACTAAAGGTTTAAAAATGTCCAACTTTACTTGTGGCTTTTAACCACACCTGCATCCTAATTACCGCCTTGGCTGTTATAGCTTATAGGTTTAGGCAATCTGGGTATAGTTGTAGCAAAGGTTATTTTTGATTCGAGCCTTGCCTCGCTTCCTCTGGACAGAGGAAGAAAAAGCTGCAGTGATGATGGAGGACTGGAGAGGGGAGGTCAGATTCAGTTTTGCAGTTTAAATCCATTTACTTGACATCATATTTGTTATACTCTGGGGGATATCAGGGAGCTGGCAAAGCAAATGTCCACATTGCTTCGAAAGGCGATAGGATGGTTGGGTCGCGTGCGACTCACTGTCAGGATAAGTAGTGCAGGTGCTGCATGGAGAGTAACACTCAGGAGGGAGCAGTTCAGGGGCTGGATGAGTCTCAGAAGACTTGGTGTATGTGTGGGGGGGTTCTTATGAACTGGGATTGGGCGGGGAGGAGAGAAAGAGTGGGTGTTGTAGGCGGGGGACCGGCACTCATCGTTCAGGGGGTCTCTTCATTTAGCAGATGTTCACTGAGCACCGGCTGTGTGCCAAGCACTGGCCTGGGCACGGTAGATACCAACATGAGTGAAGCAGAGTATAGAAAAGAGCATTGAAAGCCAGAGTGGCCCAGTGCTTGGGAGCATGGTCTGCTATGTGGTTGCCTCGGTTTGAATCCCAGCCCTGCCACTGACTAGCTTGTGGTGTGATCCTGAGCAGGTTGTGTACTCTGGAGCCTCAGTTTCCTCATCTGAAAAGTGGGGATGGTAATAATTGTGGCAGGGATTAAATGAATTAATAGGAAGTACTCAGAACAGTCTTGAATATAGAAAGTACTACTGTGTATAGGATATTTACTGTCACTGGAATATTAGCTCCGTGACAGGCATTTTGTCTGTTGTGTTCACTGCTGTAGAATGCATCTTGTATATAGTAGGCATTCAGTTAATGAATCAAAGCAACACTGGTGTCCTCAAGGAGTCCAGGAGCTTGTGCTCTGGTGGGGACACAGACATGTCAACAACCAGAGGATACTGTGCAAATGATTTGAGAAGGGAAGCATGGGGCCTGGTGGGGCACAGAGGAGGGCTGGCCAGGGGAGGCTTGGGGTCGGGGAGCCTGAGCTGGATCTTGAGAAACAAGCAGGGATTTTCTGGGTGACGGAAGGGGTTGGGATGTTTTTGGGAGAGGGGCAGCACAGGCAGAGCCAGGAGAGCATGTCCTTTTCTAGGACACCCGGAGAGAGGATCCTGCAGAATGGACCTCTCAGAGGATCCAGGGAGGGGTCCCAGCAGGGCTGTGACCGGGCCCTCTGAGGCTGTAGGGGAGGAAGGTGGAATGTGCTGGTGGTGGTCCCTCAGACACCAGCCCCCACCCATGTCCACGGAGGGGGGGCTGGACAGGTTGGCACCTGTGAGAGCTCCCCTGCAGCAGGTGAAGGTTGGCCTCCAAACAAGGAGAAGGCGGGTGGCCCCCACTGCCACCTGGGAGCACTCCTGCTGTAAAATAGAAGGGATGAAGAGAGTGGGTGGTTAGTGTCCCTGGGGGACCTAGTTAAAAACTGACCCCTGGAAGTGCAACTCCGGGTCGCCCTTACTTCCACTCAGACACCGAGGCCTCCTAAGGGGCATCTGGTAAGGGCCACCCTGTTTGCTACACTTCGTCCCCCCTTGCAGCTCTGCGCAGTGCACAGAAGTCCTGTCACCTGGTGGCCTTGACCCTGCTGACAGAGAAAGACTGGCTTTCAGGCCTGTGTGCTCGGTGCTTCTAGGGGCAGGTGTAGGGGCCATAGGGAAAGATGATGAATTCAAGCTGATAAAACTGATGTGTGCATCATCCCCAGTTGAAGAGGACTTTGAGGAAAAATCTGCTATATACTTAAGCTTGTGTTCCCCACAGTTTACCATAATTACTCATGGACTTAATTATCTGCCATAGATAATTATCTGATACTAACACCTTGCACCTCCTTGTTTCCTCCCCCTTCCTTAAGTCTGCCCAGACACAGTAGGCAAGAGAGAAAATGGAGACAGCTTTCACTTTTCTCTTCAGCCTACTGCCTTAGTTTCCTTTGGTCTCTCCTGATTTCTCTGAGGGCTTTGGGATTTATTTTTGTGGCTGATCATTTATATACAGGGTTTACCAAAGGTCCTTGTGCAGGGCTTTTAAACTTTAACTGAGGTTGTGGGTATGACAGAGTGTTGACGTTTGCAAGCATGTCAAGTGGAACCATTTAACACCGTTGCAGCTGGGGCAGTTTTTATGGTCTGCAATCTAGTCAGGAGGCTGCCCAGAGACAAGAAAGGAAACAGTGTCCCTGGCTCATTTCTATACTCACATAACCACCATTTATCTAGTGCCTACTGTGTGCTCAGTGGCTCTTCACAATGACTCTGGGAGGTCGGTGCTGCCAGCAAGTAGAGCCACAGGAACTGAGAGAGCTGGGGTCTCTGTGAATGACCCATGGGTGCTGGTTGTTTCTGGTTGAGTAGAGCCAGAGGACATGTTTAAAACTGCCAGGGACTTTTGCTGAACCTGCAGGAGTTGTTTCCTGCCTGCCCCCCACTCTGCCCGCCCCCACCCAGCCCCTTCCTTAAGTCCATCCAGAGATAGTAGGAAAGAGGAAAAGTGAAGAAGGTATTCACTTTTCTCTTCAGCCTACTGCCTTATTTTCCTTTGGTATCTCCTGATTTCTCTGAGGCCTTTGGAATTGATTTCTATGGCTGATCATTTACCTGAAGGGGCTCTCACAGAAAGGGTTTCTTGGTACTGAGCCTGATAGGAATGTGGCAGGCGGGAGGAGAGAGAGCTGAGGGTCTCCCTGATGCCTTGGTTCTCTCCCAGGCTGGGCAGGGGGAAAGGTGGCAGAGTTGGCAACATGAGATGCTAGTATGGAAGAGGATTCAATGTCAAATATCATGTCAAATATCACTTAAGGGTCTGGAGGGAATTTCACAACCAGTGAGGCACTTTTCTGTGACCAACAGTTTTCACACATTATTTGCTTTAATCCTTATGGTAGCCCTAAAAGGTGTTATTCCTCCCATTTTGTAGATGTGGACACAGAGGCCCAGGGATGCTGTAACTAGGAATGGTTGGTGTATTCTGATTCTGTCGGCCAGGTTAATTCTTTTTTTTTTTTTTTTTTGAGATGGAGTCTTGCTCTGTTGCCCAGGCTGGAGTGCAGTGGCAAGATCTCAATTCACCACAACCTCCGCCTCTTGGGTTCAAGCAATTCTCCTGCCTCTGCCTCCCATGTAGCTGGGACTACAGGTATGTGCCACCACACCTGGCTAATTTTTGTATTTTTAGTAGACACAAGGTTTCACCATGTTGGCCAGGCTGGTCTCAAACTCCTGACCTCAAGTGATCTGCCTGCCTTGGCCTCCTAAGGTGCTGGGAATAACAGGCATGAGCCACAGCACCCAGCCCATATTGATTCATTTAAAACCTCATAAGAATCCTACAGGTGGCATATTATGATCCTTGTTTACCCATGTAGTACTGAGACCCAGACCCAGAGACCACAGCCAGGAGGTAGTAGAGCCAGGGCTTGAACCCATATCACCAAGTTGCCCTCACTGGGCTTCCTTATGAAGGAGTTCCTCCTTCCACCCTTGAAAGCCGGGAGCAGTTTGCCCATGAGCCACCTAGCCCTTCAGTGGCGAGGGTAGTGGGGCACAGGGTGGTGAGTCTCTCTGAGAGATGCCCCTTTCCAGTCAGATCTGAGAGCTTCCCCCACTCCCTTCCCAGACAGTCACATAGCTTTCAGCCTAGAGCTCTGCAGAGGCGCAGCTCCCAGCCCTGCATGCCCGGGCTGGGGGTCCGTGGATCAAATTCAGTTTGTCCTTTAGCCTACCCAGTACTGGCATCTGGTAAGGCCCAGGACTACCTGGCATCAGGCACATTCCCGGGAAGCTTTTAAAATCCTGTCAGCCCTGCTTTGAAATTTATCCAGAATCAGACCATTCTCACACCCTCCACTGCTACCACCCTAGTCCACACTACTGTCATCTGCCGCCTGGATGACTGCAGTTCCCTCCTAATTGGTCTTTGTGCTTCTCTCCCCATCTGCTAGTATAGCAGCTGAAGGGATTGTTTAATGGTGGAAGTTGGGTCATGGCATCCCTCAGCTCAAACCATCTGTGGGCTCCTATCTCACATACAAAGTGGACTCCAGAATCCTTCGTGGTCCATGAGGCCCGTGTCATCTTGTCCCCTCCCCAACCCCGTTATGTCTCTGGCCTCATTTCCTCCCATCCCTGCTTCTGTTTCTCAAACGTCTGAAGGGCAGCCAGCCTAGGGCCTTTGAACTGCTGTCGCCTCTATCTGGACTGTTTTCCTCCAGATCTTCCCATGGCTGCTGCTCCCTCACTTTCTCTAGGTCTCTGCTGAGATGTCATCTCCTCAGGGTGACCTTTCTTGATTCTCCAGCACACTCTGTTCTCTCGGTGCTGCTTTCTTTTTCTTTAGAGCTCTCAACCTGACTCAGACATGTTATATTTTAATTTGTTTTCCTCTCCCTGCTAGAATGCATCTCCATGAAGACAAGGAACAAAACCTGTCTTGTTCAAGGCTGTACTTCCAGTACCTAGAATAGTGGTTGTAATAAGTAGGTCCTAAAAAATAATGATTGAATGAATGTATTAAATGGTTGGTTGTAGTCTATAATTTTCCCTCTTTGGGACTCTGCCTGAGAAGCCTACCAGCTGCTGAGAGGTCCCTCCCTGTATCCGGGGGAGCCTGGGAGTCTCGGGGGCAGAGGCTGGGCCTTGGGTACTCTGGCTGAGGCTCCCCAAAGATTCCTCTTCAGTTTGGGAACCACCGGCATCCTTGTTTGTCTGCGCTAGCTTCCAGTCACCCCTTCTGGGGAATTATCTGAAAATAGACATTTTCTCATCTGCCCACAATGACAACAGTGAATTAAAATGGGTTGGCTTGCCAGCTAAACATTGGGCATATTCAAATGCCCCTTGAGTTCTCAGAGCCATACAGAAACTGGCAGTGGCCAGAGGAGATGTCATCCACGCTCTTGAGGGTCTCCATGTAGAGTTGGAGCTAAGCTGTGCCCAGAACAATTGGATTCACTCAATGTTCTGGTATGTGATAGACCAGAAGGAGAGAAGCTGATGTTGCGTGAATCCTTCCTGTGCATAGTACACAACCACAGTGCTTAGGTAGTACGAGTATTTGGTAATGCCCAGGAATACCTGGCATCAGGCATATTACCAGGGAACTTTTAAAATCTCCTCAGCGCTGCTTCAAAATTTAAAGTGTTACAACCTTGAGGTTGATAATGGTATGCCCATTTGATGGGATGGCAAAATTGAGACTCTGAATTGATGGGAACCAGGCTTTCATGGACCCCACAGCCTTAGGAGTAACTGAGAAAGGCTCTCAGGAAGGACTTATAAGCAGGCCATGAAGGACGGGTGGTCTTCCTGTCACTGAAACAGTGCAGCATCAAGTGTAGCATGGATGGTGAGGTATGAGTGCTCTATAAGGTGGAGCCCGGATGGTTTTGAGATGGCCCATTGAGTACGAACAGGTGTGTCTTCCTTTTTCCTATTATTGATTACCTGGGAACAGGGAGAAGATTTTTTTTTTTTTTTTGGAGACAGGGTCTTTCTCTGTTGCCCAGGCTGGAGTGCAGTGGCATTATCTCAGCTCACTGCAAGAGAGGGTGTTTTAAATGAAGCCCCAGAGAGCTGAGGAACTCTGAAGAAACCCTGGCATCAACTCTCCTCCACACAGGACCTGTGCCTTCTTGGTGTCACCAGGGACCATCCCAGTGAATGCTTATCTGAGTACGCACAGCTCAGCCTCTAGTCTCCAGGAGCAGTGGAGAGTAAACCTCTCTAGTCTTGGAGGTTTTGTGGATGAGGAAGACAGAACATTGCTATGTCCTGGTTTGGAGGATGATGCTGGCATCCTTTGGCCCTTCAAGCCCTTATGAAATAAATGTTTCTTGCTACTCAGCCCATGTAGTGGGATTAGAGCTGTGTGTAGTACACAGCCACGAAGCTTATGTGGGCACTGGGAGGGCAAAAGAGGCACGTGTCTTCTTGTAGCCAGTGTAATTGACTTGTTCATATAATCACTTGTTCATCAGCCTTTATTAGCTCCTACTCTGTGCCAGGTGGCACCATGCCAGATCCTGGGGCCACAAAAACAAGGACATCTTCAAGGAGTTCACAGTCCAGTGTGGGGAGATGGATAAACCAAAGATGACATGCAGCATGGTAGAGACTGTGTGACATGAAAGCAATAGGGCTGTGGTGTGGAACTTACGGCCCCAAAGCTTTAGGGTGGCAGGCTTGAGTCTGAAATGTCATCCCAACCCAGCCACTTACCAGCTTTGACTTTGGGGAAGTTCTTGGTCTGTGTTAGGTAGTTAAATACCTTAGCTCATTTATTCCTCAAATCTGTCTAGTGAGATAAAATTTTTCTCCATTTCGTAGCTGAGGAAATTGAAACTTGGAGAGAGTGAGTAATTTGTCTATGGTCTCTCAGTAAATAAGTGACAGGACCAGGATTCTAGTCCAGGTCTGACTCCAGAGTTCCTGCTCTTCCCATTCTAATAAGGTGAAGAGAATGAGTTTTGTCCTTGTTCCCATATGGCCAGGGCCCTCTGAGAAATTAGCTTTGGGACAAAGGAGTTTTGGTTTTGGTTTTAAGCTGCATTAATGGAAGTTTCCTCCTCAGAGCACGGGAGGTGATGGTGCTGCTCTGCTCTGGGGAGATAACAGATGGAGCACTGAGGCCCATTCATGGGTCACCCTTTTGAGGG